CCACTCAAGTATAAACACCTTTTAATGCTATTGAATGGAATCATACTAAAATAAGAAGCAGATGCTCTAATCCTTACTAATACTAGCATGAATCATTCCGATGAGCTATGAACATATACTAAGAAATTTTTGGATCTGTACCCGTAATTTGAAGTCCTCATGGATATTGAAGAGCCCTGGTGGTGTGTACTGGGTTATGACCTGGGCTGCTTGCTGAAAGGTCAACAGTTCAAATCTCCCAGTTGCTCCAGGGGAGAAAGATGAGGCTATCTGTTCCTGTAAAGATTTAGTCTTGAAAACCCCTGGGAGCAGTTCTATTCAGTACTATAGAGTCACTATGAGTTGGAATCACTTCGATGGCAGTAGGTGATAGACCTTGACATCACTTTCTTAAATGGTTATGTGTCCATTGCTATATCCTACCTATGTGAATTGTTATTTGTGTCTTAAACACACATGTCCAGTATTTTCAATGCTTATCCACAAGCCCACACATGAAGCAGAATCCTATTTTTAAAGTGCTGGTATGGGGCAGACACTTGGAAGACAGTTCTTGGTAAGGAAGAAAGCGGTGGGTAGAGGACATTGATTATTAATAGAATTGTTTGTTCCTCCACCTCCTTCTGGCATTTCAGGAGATGTTTCACAAAGCAGAAGAAGTCTTACTCAAAACGACCGAGAAGGAGATGGAGGAGATGGATACGTCCGACACCCAGTGGGGCTGGTTTTACTTGGCAGAATGTGGGAAGTGGCATATGTTCCAGGTACCTCTTCTCCTTGGTCCAGCAGAAGGGATGGAGAGTCCCTTAGCAGCCTCTTGCTCATGTAGAAAGTGATGATGGGTGCACCACCAGGCCAAAAGAAAGCTCAACCTTAAGGAAACGCGAGAGCTCCAGAGAAAGCAAAGTTAGACCATGGAGCCCTTTGCCTTTTCTTTCCCGCAGGGTTTCACTGTTAGGTGTGTAGAAAAAGCTGTGTGTTTGCTGTGCGTGCAGAGGACAAGTGGGACTGAGAGTTGCTCGGTGTCAGTGCATCCAAGCAAATCCAAATTTGAGTTGCGGGCCAAAGACCGAAGGAAGAGCACAAGCCCACATTACACTCCCTTCTGTACACCAGGCATCATGTTAGGTGCTGTGCGCATGCTCTCCTCTATCCTCACAATGATTCAGAGGAGGCAGATGTTAGTGCCCTGCCTTCCAGTCAATGATGCAAAACTCCTCAAAGTTCATACCAGTTGTCCAGGGTCACCTGGCCAGTTCATGGTAGCCTGGGATTGGAAGCCATCCTCCAAAACAGGCTCTTTTTTACCTTACACGGCTATTGAAGATTTCATTTGAGCTACTAAGGAAGATGGCTGTAGACACTGTAATCATTTGACAAGAGTGACTATTTTAAGATTTCTAATCCTTAAAGTGTTTTGAAGACACTGGTTTAGCTGTGACTCTCCTTGTGTGTTGGGAACGAGAGCAGATTACTGTTAGCCTGGTCCCTCCATTCTTCACCTCTGTGACCACAGCCCCACCTCTATGGCTAAGCCATTAATGTGAACAGCTGGTAAATGAAACTTTCTGGTTTGTCTTAAAGCCGGATACCAACATTCAGTGTTCAGTTAGCAGTGAAGATATCGAAAAAAGCTTCAAAGCAAACCCTTGTGGCACCATTTCTTTTTCTACTTCCAAATTCAGCTACAGGATAGACTTTGCAGGTATGTTTCCCTTTCCCTAATGGTTGTGTGTTTCCAGTATATCGATATGATACAGTCGACTGTAGCTCTGAGGATCAGGATTAGTTGACACGTTTGCACACAGTGAGGTCACTCCTTCTGTAAACCGCTCTACAAACTTGAGATTGAAAATCTCCTTGAACAACATTGCCTTTGGTAAAGGTCTTTATATGGGTAGCAGGGTTTGAAGCTCTCAGCTGCGCACCAAAAAGTTGGTAGTTCAAACCCCACCAGACCCTCTGCTGGATATAGGGAGCTATTAATGGATGTGGAGATTGTCATGGCTGTTGAGTTTATGTACTGCTTCTCAGAAACGCAAGACCCTCCAAAGCCTTCATGTGACGCCTTATTGTATACATTTTATTTTTTCGACCCTTTTTATCATAAGGGTCAAACAGAGAGGCTAAGTGCCAGTCAAAGTCACATAGGTAGCTGGTGACAGTTTCCAGACCAAAGTCCAGCTGAATGGCCCCTTCTTCCCCAGGTATGTGTGACAGAAAACACATTTCTTCAAAGGGCCATTGCCTTCTGCCATTTTCTGTTTTTTTCTGACACTTTCACATATTGGCCTGTGAATCTGGAACTCAGCCATTCACCAGGACAAAAATATTGGCATGTTGTAGATAACCCATGACCGTCCCTTTGGTTTTAACCCTTTCAGTCCCAAGGGGCTAGCTTCAGGTGTTTGCCGCAAAGCGCCAAACAAGATAGGGTGGGAGTGTGCAGTTTGGGTTGCTACACAGCTCAGGGCTGCGGCTCTTCTTGCCTAGTTCCTGCCTTTCCGGCAGAGTTAGTTGTGTGTGTGTGTGGGGGGTTTTGGGCAGGGTTAAAACCTTAGGAAATCCCTTTGTTTGCAACAAGGTCCAGCAATGGTGATGGGGCTTTGACCCGTAGGAGGGTATATGCAACCCAACAGCTAATGGTCACTGCCCTATTAACGTTGTTTCTCCCACTGCTTATCATTCTCAAGAATGAAAGCCACCAGCTGTACTCCTGACTCACCATACTTTAAAAAAAATTACTAGGCGAGTGAGCTGTAGGCACCCTGACATTCGCCTCTCTGCTGCCACTGGGCAGAGGTGTCTGGGAGGCATTTTTCAGTCTTATGTACAAGTACTACTTCTGAAGCAGGACCGAATCAGAATGATATGCGCAGACACCAGCTTTCGTTAGAGGGTGAAGCGTGTCAAACCATTTGGTACCTAATTCAGCAAGCCAGACATTGTTGAAAAAATTGCTTTTAACTAAGTCACATTTGAGGAAACTTTCTCTGACAATGTCATTCATTAGAAATTAGAAAAAAAAAATTTTTACAAAGAGGAGGTGTAATATATAATATAATAACCCAGGTTTGCCAAGAGTCTACATAATGGGACCATTCTAAGGCTGCAGGGCATGGGATTTCGTGTGCGCGAACGGCAGAGATATTAGCCCCGGCAGGTCTGCCATTCATCAACTTGGGTTCTCTGCATCCAGTGGCTGGAAAGGAAACTCAAAAGGAGGTGGCAGAAGGAGGCACCACAGGTGCTGCTGTCGGGGCCCAGGTGATCTTGCCTGCTCCTCACACAAAGGCCATGCCAGTGTGCAGCTCACGGAGAGTACAGCAAGGCAGAGCACCCGTTCAGCTGTGACGCTAGCCTTTGCCCAGGTGGCATCAGGCCTTCGTTTTGGAACGCAGCCATAGAATTTCGAGAAGACAGACCGGCACTCACTTTAAGACTCCATGGCTTCCCTTACTGGAAATGGTGACATTTACCTGGTAAATGTACCCTTCTGGGAGGTATAAAGAAAAGAACAAAATAATCCCACTAGTTAATAAGCTCATCCTTTTTATCCCTAGAGTCTCTTAGGGAAGTGTTTACTGGGCCCGACTAGGTTTGCTGTGTTTTTGGTTTCCATGCACAATTTAAAGAAAAGACAAAAGTCTACATTAAAAAAAAAAAAAAAGTTGTGGGTTTTCTTCGTTTTAAAATGACAATATCTCTTATTTTTATTATTTCCAAAATTTGCGAGGAGATGGCGGGACTTCCTTCGGTCCATTCAATAAGTCAACCAGGAAGATCCTGTGTAGTACGGGTTTTCTTCTCGCTCCTCGGTGCTCTTCATTTCCCTAAGATTAGAACCCTCGAATTTTAGTGCCATTTTGTGAGAGTGCGTGACCTCTTCAGTGTGGATGGAAATGGATTGACCATGCGCACAGAGCAGTGCAGAGACCAGCATGGTCACTGTTGAGCTTACCTCAAGCAGTGCACGTGGGCGCCCGGCAGCAGTTCTTTTTAGGGCATGATAAATAGATACGGGGTGACGGATTTTCGGTAGATGATGCTTATCAGCGGCCCCCGAGTTTCATGACTCCAGATGACTGCGCGGTGCGGCTGCAGGTCCTCGTGACAGTGTATGTAGCACAGCACGTTTCTGTGACTTGTCTCCTACCTTCGTCTTTGTCTACAGAAATGAAGCAAATGAATCTCACCACCGGGAAACAGCGCTTAGTGAAAAGAGCCCCCTTTTCCATCAGCACTTTCAGGTACCGTAAAGAGAATTGGGGGAGAAAGGGGAGGCTTTGGAGGCTGCATGGTTTTCTTTTCCTCTCCCTTCTCTTATTATTTGACAGAAACAAAACAACCCTGAATATGTTGGGTGGGTTATTTAATAATCTCAATGTTAATCTTTTATTTTTATTTTAATTTAATTTTATTTTTTTTTAATCCTTATGATTTTTTATTTATTTATTTATTTTTGATCTCTGTATATGTTTAATCATGGTTCCCTTTTTTTTTTTTAACATTTTATTAGGGGTTCATACAACTGTTATCCCAATCCATACACACATCAATTGTGTAAAGCGCATTTGTACATCGTTTCTCAAAACATTTTCTCTCCACTTAAACCCCCGACATTAGGTGTTAATCTTTTAATAGTTGATCTTGGCAATATTTAATCTCTCAATGGTTGAGTTATAATTTTCTATCAGGGTTTTCCTTTCCTGTTAATTATCAGTGTTGCATTTTCCCTTCTACATTTGTATCTTTCCAGTCTTTAGAGCACTTAGCATGTTTATTACCAGCTGCCTTATGGCTCCTGCTATAAGTCCTTAAAACAATCTGTGAGATAGGTCTGAACTCCTGAAGAGCCATCATTCTTTAGGCTGTGAATCTAAAACAACATGCCGCTCTATCCCACCCCCACTGGGCAACGCCTAGAAGTAACTTCACGCTTCATGTGACGACACAGGGTCTGAGGAAGATGGCCACACAGGCCAAGAAAGCTCAGCGGTTCTCCAAACCTGCACGGCATGCTTTCTTTTTTGATAGCTTTGGCCACGAACAAGAATGTTGAAAATAGAAAAAGTATGCAAAGAATTATAGATGCCAGGAAAAAATTATTGTTTTTTCCTGTGACTGGAATTGAAAGGAAAACTTTTAATCCATGTCTGCTATTTACTGGGATACTTCTTCAGGCAAGGATTGAAATTCCTTTTGCTCAAATAATGTTAACTGAAACACATTAACAGAAGCTATCACATGAATTGTAGAGAAGACTCATTTGCTACATGCAAAGAAATATGAAAAGATAAAGAATAATGAAAACATTTCCAGTTCCTTAACAGTTTGTTCCTTATGACTCTTGACTTATATTTTAGTGTCATGATTTAAAAGCTTTTCAAGAAATTTATGTACTGAATGACCTAGCATTTCTTTTTTTCCCCAAAACCATTTTATTAGGAGATAATCCAGACACCATACCATTCCATTCATTCACATCAAGCCGTGTTGTATAATTTCTCCCCAAATCAGTTTCAGAACATTTTCTTCCCTCTTAAACTCCTTGATATCAGCTTCCTTGTACCCCCTTACCTCACTGTGCCCCCTCTTCCCCCCAGGAACCTTTATTCTAGTTATTGTCTCTAAAGATTCATCCATCCTGGAGTTCATATACTGAAGACCATAGAAACACACATCACGGAGGGTCAAGAAGTTGACCAACAATGACAAAATGCAACAGAGAGATATGGGGGACTTTTACTTCTTTACCAGTTGTATCATATCCTTGTTCTTCAGTACAAGGGATATAATAAAAGAATTAGTTGTCTTCAAAGAATCAGTAATACAGGAGAGAACACTGAGATGGCTGGGTGGAAAATGTTACTGTAATTAAAAGTGTTGTTCTGTCTGGTCGGTCATGGAGTGTACAAAGCACAGAACAAAGGCAGACAGAGATGGAATTTACCAGAATGAAGGATGATAATGAACAAGATACAAAAGAAGAGGCAGTAAGTAGGCAGAGTACAGTTGAGTGTTAGGGTCATTAATTTATTGCAGGAGTATATTGAGCATGTACTACATGTCTAACAAGCCATGCTTCCTGTTGATCTCTCCCAACCAGAGGCAAGAAGCTCAATGACAATTGATGCATGGGAACAACTAGTTCAGTGAACCTTGAGAGCATTAGTTTCCACTCCCCTGAGACCAGAAAACTAGAGAGGACCCAGCTGGGCCATCACTCTCAAATGCCCTGAAAGGGATCGCTTTACAATGGCCTGTGTAGAGAGGGGAAAATATAGGACAATAATCAAAGTCATAAAAGGCAAAAAAAATACCATGAATTTTTTTTTAAGATTTCAGTCCCTTTCAAATTTCTTTGTTCCCGAAACTCAAAGAACATTTAAAAGAAATATGAATTCCCAATTCTTGGCCCTTAGTCATCTCTCAGGCCGGGAACTGAGCTCACCCTTAAGACCCAATTTTCATCCAAACAATAGATAGGTTTATAAGGGAAACAATAATACTAGTGCAGTATGCACACAACAGAATAATCAATCATTTGACATCAAAGTGGCAGCATTTACCCAAGGACAAAATTCAGAAGGACTAGGGAGGGAGACAGAAGGCAGAGAGGAATGGGATAAATGGTGTTCATTGTGGAAGGTTGCAACCGATGAAATAGTTTTAAATGTGAACAAAGTGAATTATTGAATGAAAAACTTGTCTGCTCTGTAAACCATCACCCAACTAACATTAAAACGTTTTTAAAAATTACCTCTCAAGAGACAATCAACAACTGCATTTTATCATCCAATATCAGTAAATTGTTCACTATTGAAACATTAGTAATAAACCCAAATAAAAAGAATGATATGACTCGAGGGGAGAAGTCTGAAGGGTCACAGTCAGAGTTGTAGGGTGAATGGGGTGAAGCTTGCGAACGGGTTCAGTCCTTGCCTCACTCAACAAATGAGCAGGTGCACTCTTGTGAGCCTCGTTCTGCAACTCTCCTGAGCTGTTTCTCCGCAGCATGGTGGCATTGTAGGTGCTGTCACACTGGCTGCAGCCCATCACACCCTGGGTACCATAGAACGAAACACTGCCCTGCCCTGTGTCCTCCTCACAGTTGCTGCCATGCTTGACCCCAGTGTCACAGCCCCAAGTCAGTCCACTCTTTTGAGGAGCTTCCCCTTTTTTGCTGTCCCTGCACCAAATATGGTGTCCTTTTCCAGGGACTTGTTTCCCTGGATAACATGTCCAAGGTACATGAGACTAGGTCTTGCCATCCTTACTTCCAAGGAGCATCCTATTTGCACTTGTTTTAAGACAGATTTGTTTGCTCCTTTTCCAGTTTATGTGGTACATTCAATATTCTTTGCCCATAGCGTATTTTAAATGCATTGATTCCTCTTCCATCTTCCTGAGTCGGTGTCCAATTTTCACAGGCAAATGAGGCAAGCGAAATGACCACAGGTGGGCTCAGGTCTTGTGCAGTAGACTTACAGAATACAGATATGTCATTCAATCTCTTCATTGCTGCTTCCTTGAGAAATGATGGTGAATGAAAGCAGACGGAATCCTTGATAACGTCAATCTTTTCTCCAGTTGTAAAGATTTTTATTTTCTTTACATTGAGTTGTAATCCATATCGAAGGCTGCAGTCCTTGATCTTCATCAGCAAGTGCTTCAAGTCCTCCTCCCTTTCTGTAAGCAAGGTTGGGTCATAGGCATATTACAGGTTGTTAATCAGCCTCCCTCCCATCCCGATGCCACACTCTTCGTATTATCCAACGTCTCTGATTATTTGCTAAGTAGACAGATTGACTAAGCATGGTGAGAAGATACAGCCCCGATACACACCTTTTCTGATTGTACACAATATTCCTTTGTTCCCCTCTCACTGCTGACTCTTGATCCATGTGCAGGTCCCCATGAGCACAGTGTAGTGCTCTGGGATTCTCATTCTCTTCTCAAGGCCATCCATAGAGTGTTATGGTCCGTGCAGTCATATGCCGTAGCACAGTCAATAAACACAAGGAAACATCTTTCATTCTGGTACTCACTGCTTTCAACCAAGTCCCTCTGACACCAGCAATGATATCCCTTGTTCTACATCCTTTTCCGAATCGGGTCCGAACGTCAGGCAGCTCCTGGTCAATGTACTGCTGTACCTGTTTTTGGATGAACTTCAGCAAAATTTTACCTGCATGCAATACCAATGATAATTGTTCTATAATTTAAACATTCTGTTGGGTCACCTTCCTTTGGAATAGCTACAGATGGGAATCTCTTCTAGTCAGGTGGTTAGGTCTTACAAATTTCTTGGCATAGTAAAATGAGTGCTTCCAGTGCTTTATCAGCTTGTTGAAATATTTCAATGGATAGTCTGTCAATTCCTGGAACCTTGTTTTGGCTAATGCCTTCAGTCCATCATGAACTTCTTCCTTTAGTACCATTGTTTCTGGCTTATATGCTACCTCCTTAGATGGCTGAATGTTGCCTAGTTCTTTATGGTATAGTGGCTGTATATTCTTCCCATTTTATTTTGATGCTTCCTACATCATTCATTCTTTTACCCATAGAATCTTACAATATTGCAACTCGAGAGTTGGATTTTTTTCTTGAGTTCTTTCAGTGTAAGATATGCTGAGCATTTTTTTTTCCTTTTTGGTTTTCAAACTCTAGGTCCTTGCATATTTCATTATATTGTACTCCGTCTTCTTCAGCTTCCCTTTGAAGTTTTCTGTTGAGCTCTTTGACTTCATCTATTTCATTTGCCTTAGCTACTCAATGAGTCAGAGGACATTTCAGAGTCTTTTATGATATCTATGCCAATCTTTTTCTTTCCCATCTTTTTAATTACATTTGTTTTCTTCATTTTCAATGTTCTTGCTGTCATCCACAGCTCAGCATGCCTTCTGTTATTAATATTCAGCCAGTGGAATCTGTTCTTAAGATGGACTCAAAGTTGTGCTTTGACTCTTGTGGACTTATTCTAATTTTCTTCAACTTCAACCTGAATTTACCTACGGGCAGTTGATGGTCTGAACCACAGTAAGCTCCTGAACTGTTTTTAGCTGCTGCTGATAAGCTTCTCCATTGTCTCTTCCCACAGATGTAGTCAGTTTTATTTCTGTGTACTCCATCTGGAGAAGTCCGTATGTTTAGCTCCTGTCTGTGTTAACTGGCAAAAGGTATTTGCGTTGAAGAACTCATTGATCTTGCAAACTTTTATCATGTGATCTCCAGCTTTATTTCTGTTTCTAAGCTTTTTCAACTGCTGTTCCTTCCTCTCTTTCCTACTCACACATTTTGATTGCTTGTTCTGTTTAATCAAGTTTAGACTAAAGATGTTGATGAAATTCTTCAATATCTGTGATAGGTGCATCTATTTGATAATAATTGTATTGACTAGATTCCCTTGTTTGCAGACATTGTATTTCAAGCTAGATTTTGACAGACAAGCGGTGGTCTCACCAATGTACTTTCATTTTTCTATCAATTTCTTAGTAAGCCTTTGTGATTGTCCCGTGTCCTTGGGGAAAATCTATCAAGATTATCCATTGTGAATCAAAAAAACAAAACAAAACAAAAACCCCCAATCATCATAAAGTTCTGGACTCCCTTACTCTCTTGAATTTTTACTGGTCCAACAGATATCAGAAGCCATTGTTTTCATTGATCATTTTATTTATTATTATTTTGGCCTACTGAGGCTGAGCTAGTGTATTATTGAGAGAACGTGTCTGTATCATCCACTGATTGCAGAGATGTATAAACATAGTTTGTTTGGAATACACCTGAGATTATGTGAACTGGACGCTTAGTGACAATACTTTTTGATTTATCTTTGTATTTAAAATACCCCTAGAACTCAAAAGATCCACAACTCTTCAGGAAAGCGGGCAGAGAATTTGAACAGTTCATATAACCTCACCCATAATGAGAGTGCCCTGGTGCTTTAGTGGGTTACACATTGGCTTTCTAGTTACAAGATCAGCAGTTCAAATCCACCAGACACTCTTTGGGAGACAGACCAGGCATTCTAATCCCTTACAGTCTCAGAACCCCACAGGGACCATCCTACCCTGTCCTATGGGGTCACTATGAGTCAGCATTGACCACGTGGTAGTGAAGTCGTTTTTTTGTGTTTACTTGTTTTATAACAAGAGAAATATAAAGGAGCTTCAAAAAAAAAAACTTTTGTAAATTCTCCTATCTCCTAATTCCACATTTTCACAAGCTTTTCAGTAGCCAGTATAATTATATTGAAAGGCATTTGTAATCTGGAGTTTTATTTTCTTCTCAGCAATCCCTTTCTTTATTATTAATATCTTACCTAAAATCTTCCTTCATTTTAAAGAAATTCAGGAAATTTCAGACAGACAACTGTTTTTGAAATTGTGATGGTGTATAAGGCTTGGTGTTTTCCCGCAATGTTCTGAACTGAGCACTAACAAAGTAGCACCCCGTGCAGATCTCAATAAGGCTAGAAGCATGAAACAAAGGGCTGCACTCACTGGTATTTGTCACAATACCTGAGACAGGAACACTGCACTTTGTAGAAAAGGTTAATATTTTGCTGTTTTGTGTCTTTTCAGTTACATCTGTGAAAATGAAGCTATCCCTCTGCCGCTACACTGGGAGCACGTGAACACCGAAGTTCCCTATCAGGTGAGAGCCGGGCTGCTGTGCATGTCTTCTGAAAGAAGCCGGAGGGAGCCCGTGAAATGACATGCACTCCTTTCTCCAGCTTATTCCTCTGCAGAGTCAAACCCACGAGTATAACGAAGTTGCTGGTCTCTTTGGGAAAACAATGGATCGCAACCGAATTAAAAGAATTCAGAGAATTCAAAATCTAGACTTGTGGGAATTCTTTTGCAGGTGAGACAATTTCTGGTCTGAACCCTCTCTTTGGCCTCTAAGCGTTGCTTGTAGCCTGGAATCAGTTAAGCACAAATGTTAGGTTTATTAAGTTTCAGTGGTACTGTATGAGCCATTTAGACATGTGGGGCTCTTCTGTGTCGTATTCAGCCCGGTCTCTCAGCTCTCTTGTCCAGGCACTCTTAGGGAAGCCAAGAGAGCTGCTTCTGTGGGGTAAATGTGCCCGACTCGGCCTACATTAGCACCGTGCAGTGTTAGAAGGGGAAAAGCCTGCTCAAGGTTCCCAGAGGCTCCTTCCACCTGCAAGGGTCTTGAGCTGTGCATATTGGCAGGAATGGACATTGCAAAGGACTCTGGGGAGCTGCTTAGTTGGATTGAGCATGACTTTGCTAACCCAACCTTCTAATTCAACTAGAAGTCCTTAGCTTGCTTTGCTCTGAAGGGCCCTTTTAAACTTCCCTCTTTTTTTCTACTCAATTTAGAACTTAGGGTGTAAGATTTTAAGCCTTAGTTCACTGCCCAATACATAATGGAAATGACCCATTAGATTGTTCACTAGGCTGTTAACCTAGAAAATAAAGACCATTACAGAATGCCTCAAGGAATTGCTCAAATTAATCTGCTGTACTGTATTTTTATTTTAAACAAGTGCTACTTCAAATAAATGAGTCTGTGAAATATTTTTATTAATATTTTGGATGACACTTGATGCCTGCCTTTTTTTTTTTTAGAAATGTAGGCTAATTTTTCATTTTTAAATCCAGAAAAACTGGGGAGAGGTACTGGTGTTAACAAACCCAGGGACAAGGGAACAACAAGTGATCCAAATCGGTGGTGAGGAGGGTGTGGGAGGCCTGGTAGGCCATGATCAAGGGTAATGTAACCAAGAGGAATTGCTGAAACCCAAATGAAGACTGAGCATGATAGTGGGACAGGAGGAAAGTCAAAGGAAATAGATGAAAGAGCTGGGAGGCAAAGGGCATTTATAGAGGTCTAGATAAAGGCATGTACATATGCAAATTTATTTATATATGAGGATGGGGAAATAGATCTATGTGCATATATTTATAGGTTTAGTATTAAGGTAACAGAAGGACAATGGGCCTCCACTCAAGTACTCCCTCAATGCAAAAAAACTTTCTTCTATTAAATTGGCATTCTGTGATGCTCACCTTCCCAGCACAACCGCTGAAGACAGAGCAGGTGAATAAGCAAATGTGGTGAAGAAAGCTGATGGTGCCCAGCTATCAAAAGATATAGCGTCTGGGCTCTTAAAGGCTTGAAGATAAACAAGTGGCCATCTAGCTCAGAAGCAACGAAGCCCACATGGAAGAAGCACACCAGCCTGTGTGATCACGAGGTGCTGAACGGATCAGTTTTCAGGCATCAAAGAACAAAAAAAATCATATCATTGTATGCTCACCTCCATGATACAATCGCTGAAGACAAATGGGTGCATAAGCAAATGTGGCAAAGAAAGCTGATGGTGCCCAGCTATCAAAAGATATAGCGTCTGGGCTCTTAAAGGCTTGAAGATAAACAAGTGGCCATCTAGCTCAGAAGCAACGAAGCCCACATGGAAGAAGCACACCAGCCTGTGCGAACACGAGGTGTCGAAGGGATCAGGTATCAGGCATCATCAGAACAAAAAATCTTACCATAGTGAATGATGGGGGGAGTGCGGAGTGGAGACCCAAAGCCCATTTGTGGGCTACTGGACATCCCCTTACAGAGGGGTCTTGGGAAGGAGATGAGCCAGTCAGGGTGCGATATAGTAACGATGAAAAATACAACTTTGCTCTAGTTCCTAGATGCTTCCTCTCCTCCGCCCTCTCCCAACTACCATGACTCGAATTCTACCTTGCAAGTCTGGCTAGACCAGAGGATGTACACTGGTACAGATAGGAACTGGAAACACAGGGATTCCAGGGCAGATGATCCCTTTAGGACCAGTGGTGTGAGTGGTGATACTAGGAGGGTGGAGAGAGGGTGGATTGGAAAGGGGGAACCGATTATAAGGATCTACATGTGACCTCCTCCCTGGGGGACGGGCAACAGAAAAGTGGGTGAAGGGAGACGTCAGACAGGGCAATGACAAAATAATAATTTATAAATTATCAAAGGTTCATGAGGGAAGGGGGAGCGGGGAAGGAGGGGAAAACATAAGGAGCTGATGCCAGGGGCTTGGGTGGAGAGCAAATGTTTTGAGAATGATGAGGGCAATGAATGTGCAAATGTCCTTTATACAACTGATGTATGTATGGATTGTGATAAGAGTTGTATGAGTCCCTAATAAAATGATTCAAATAATTCACTTGAAAAAAAAAATCCAGAAAAACTTCAAGTAGATACAAAAATAGAGTGCCTAACATAATAAAGCCCCATAGACTTGACTTAAACGTTATCAAGATTTACACACATACTCTATCCTTGTGTTAGTCCAGGTAGACTAGAGAAACAAATTCATGGACACGCATATGTGTATACAAAAGAACTTTATATAAAAGAACCATTGTATATTGAGAAACCTCCCAGCCTAGTCCAGATCAAGTCCATAAGTCCACTATTAGCCCATAGTTCCCATATTAGTCCATAAATTCCTCTTTAGACTCACACAGTCATGCAATAATGCCAAGTACAGGAAGATCACAGGCCAGTGTGTGGAAAGTCTTGTAGATCCAGAGGTGGTGGAAGGATTTCAGCACTGCCAGGGTTCTCCACATGGCTCCTCCAGCTCCAGGGCTCTGGCTCCATCAGTATGTCTGCATGCGACTTCTCAACAGGAATGTGTAGCAGAGAGTGTGTCCCACCTCCAGGGAGGAAGATAGGAGTTGCCAGAATCTTCAGGAGAAGTTCATGCCCACACAGAGGCCCAATTGACAGGCTAGACTCCACCCCTTCAGAAGTTGACAGATTATGTATTTCCACAGACCACCCCTTGTCATCTTGACACTTTCACACTACTCTTTAGCCATATTTAATTTTCAAACAATAAGAAAATCATATTTGTACCTAATAGGATAAAACTAAACTGCATACAATTCAATATGTGCCAAAGCCTTATTTAAACATAATATTCTTTAAGTGAACCAAACAATACTCTAAGCTTAACAATTGCACTTAAGTGAACACCTATACCGTAATCCTATGAACATATTCCCCCACTTATACAAGTTTGTAAGCCAGCCACTTCATGCTTTTATCCGCCCCATTTTAGGTATCCAATTTCTATATTGCCCATTTATATCAACCCAGTGCTCTGAGGAGACAATCATATTCTTTGATGTGAAGAATCTTCATACTAATTGGAACTTTGTGAAGTCTGTATCCATAAGCAAAGTCAAATCAGGACAGGCATCCATAAAATCAGCACCAATATGCACCAGTTCACAGGCTCAAAAATCATCTTTTTGGGTTCTGGTCAACTCATCGTGGGCTGCCTCACTTAGCCTTACCAGGGTGTCCATTAGTCCCCTCACCTTTAGACCATGGGCTTGTCACAAATTCTCAACAACCCTAGCCCCCTTGTGCTAGGTCATGAACTTAAGACCAGTCAACCAGCTCTCATTTTCTCCTCTCGTTCCTGTGCACCAGGTTCACGGGTGTCAGTGGCCAGACTCAACCTGTCTCTTCATTGCTGCATTTCTCTCATGTCCACTCAGCAAGTGCATCCAGATGGTCACCTAGCAAGCATTTCAGCCTGCCCAAAGGCACCCTTTAACGTTCAGCCCTAGAGAGGAGTGTCTTCAGGGATCCAGATTTTTTCCAGCTTTGGGCATAAACCACTAATTCAAAATTCAAAAAAAACCACAGGTTCTTTTTTTCCCCATCAATCTGTCAACAGCCCCCTAGGCAAGTCTCTTCATCTTCAAATGCCCTGAGCACTCAAGACACTGGGTGGGGCTTATCTTTTCAGACCCTTCTTGGCAGGTGTGTCCTAATCCATTTAAATATTCAAATTAATGGCTGAAGGCAAATTGGCTTACAAGCTCTCTATTTGATACTCCCAATAATCATTTCTATCAATTATTATATCAATAACAATAAGCAGAAGAAAACAGTATAAACCTAGGACAGCCAAATTGTAAACTTAATTTGTAATACAGTCAAGTTCAATGCTTATCTAAATTAGTCCATTGATACAAAATATTGCCTTAGGCCTCTGGCTGCATTGCCTCATACCAGGACCAGGCCTTCTGTCAGCCATTTTCACTAAGCAACTCTGAGAAATTCAAGGAGTGATTTCACTCCCTGAGCTCAAAATATACATTAATCACATTAATTTTCACTATTCCAAACAGGAATAACCAAAGACAAGAACCAAACAAAATAATCAAAACTTTAACTTCATATATTCTTTCCAGAAAACAACCCAGGAAACTGCATTGCCATATCTGACCTCTGGCTAGCCAAAGAAGAAACACTACCATGAGGTAGAGGTCAAACAAACATCTCCTCTCCAGCTTTATGATTTGTTTATGATTAGTACCCTACTCCCGGTACCATAATGTGTTCGTCTGGGTAGACTAGAGAAACAAATTCCTAGACATGCATATGTGTATGAGTTTTTATAAAAGAGCAATTGTATATTGAGAAACATCCCCGCTCTATCCAGATCAAATCCATAAGTCCAATATTAGCCCATACTAGTCCAATACTAGTCCTTGAACTCCTCTTTAGACTCACACAGCCATGCAATAATGCCAAATGCAGGAAGATCACAGGCCAGTGGGTTAAGAGGCATGTAGATCCAGTGGCGGTGGAAAGATCTCAGTGCTGGTGTGGGTCTCCATGTGGCTCCTCGAGCTCTGGGGTTCCAGCTCCCTCAGTATGTCTCCATGTAGCTTGTCAACAGGAATGTATAGCAGAAAGGGTGTGTGTCCCACCTCTGGAGAGGAAGATAGGAGTTCCCAGAATCCTCAGGAGAAGGCCATGCCCACACAAAGGCCTCATTGACTGTGACCTGATTGACAGGCTAGACCCCACCCCTTTGGAAGTTG